CTTCACCCCCCCAAAAACAGGCATCCCCTCCCCATCAAAGTAAACAGGCACCCCCTCGCGAAAACTAAACTGCAACGCCGCCGCCTCAAGCGCGTCTTGCGGCGTACAAGTCAGTTCCTTTCCATCTAGCACAGCCTCCGCAAACTCCGCAAGGTCATTCACGAACGACTGGTCATACAGCGCGAAGGCATCGGGCGTCGGGGCCGTCCGCACCCCATGCCCATCGCGCACCTCAACACGGTTGCGCATCGAAGCCGTTTGTAGGTAAGCGTTCGGCCGACGTGCGTTGTTAGGATGCTGCCGTCGGCGAATTCGACCAGCCCCCAGCCGTTATCGGCGTCCTGGGTCGCGGCGAGGTCGGTGTAGACGGAGCGTTGACTAAATGCGATGACGCGGTTGACTTGATTTTTTGTGCCGGGGGGTAAAGAGGTGGAGGCGTTTAGGTAGTAGCGGGCTATGTTGATCTGCATTATATGAACGTGAGCTGAGAAGGGAATGGAGTGGGTGGTAAGGAGACGCACGTCATGAGCACCCATATCGACGAATATCCCACCAGACTGCGCGGAGAACCTCACAAAGAAGCCTGTCGGATCCTGCTGGTCGAGGCAGGAGGTTTCGACGGCGTCGCTCGTGCCCAGTTCGCCTTTCTCGACCATTTCTTTGACGGCGCGGTCTGAGTCGTCGTCTACCACGCGTCAAATAAAGCCAGCTCATGCCCGAGTACGAAAGCCACTAATAGGCCCCAGTGGCTACTTGCACCTCCGACAGAACGGCACCAAGAACTTAAGATGCGGCGTGGACGCAGCCTTAGCCAGAACCTCCTGTGTCGTAGCCACGTCAGGGCTACGGTGATGGGCTTCTCGCACATAACATGCTAACCACCAACCACCAGCTCAAGCTTTGCCTCCAGATAGATGCGGGCAAACTCACCAACCCCAACTCCAAAGGCCCCATAACAAGCGGCGCATGGGTCGCCGTGGCAGTTGAAATCAGAACCGCCTGCGCACCACTCTTCTGCATACACGCCTCCAGATCCGCGAAAAACTGCACCGAGGCTGGAAGATTGGCGGCAGCTCACTCATCGCTGCCGGGCTGTGTCGCAGGCGGCGACGAGCTCGATGCGCGGCTGTTGGAAGGAAAGGATGCGGGCGCGGATTGCGCCGAGGCGACCGAGGCCGATGAGGGCGAGTTTCAGGCGAGGTTGGGATGACATGATGTATTTTCCAAGGGTCTATCACAAAGAATCTGGGACGTAATGTCGTAGGACTGGTTGACCGGGTCCTTTTATCGTGTATGGCATGCTCAGGCCCGGTAAGGTACGGTGTTCTCGCGCGATAGCACTGTCCGTATCGGTGAAGCTGTAATGCAGACAATTCCGAAACATGGCTTACCTGCTTACACCTGGCGAAGCAATGTTCATATGTCCGGTGGTGGAGTGCATGTTCAGGCGTCGGATAGCTCAAGTCCGATGTTGATTGATACCCGATCGACGTCGGATAGCTCAAGTCCGATGTTGATTGATACCCGATCGACGTCGGACGTTGCAAAGCTGCCGGGATTATTCGGTAGGGAGTACTAATCAGGAAAGGATTACTAGTGGTATAGATATAGAAAACGATTCATAGCAGTAAGGTTTGCTAAACAATTCTGGGGTACGCACTGAATACAGCTAACTTAACTCGCGCTGGCTGACGTTGGCACTGGCCCATTGTTGTCAATGGTCATCGCGTCGCCAGCAGTGACGGCTCGGGATGAGTCGGCGGCCTGTGGCAGCACTCGAAAGCAATTCCAGAGATTCAGCGTCTGTGAACTCAGCCGTTTCCGACACCGCGTCGACAAGACTATCGCCAAAAGAATCACTGGAAGTGGAGCCTCCCACCGAACTTGAAATAGCTGACTCTTCATCGCTACTCGTTGCCGGAGGCACGCACCGTAGAGCAAACGCATAGAGATGCTCAGCAATGTGGCTATCGAATACTGAGTGGGCTGATTGAGTGGTGTAAGCGCAAAGTGGACATGAGAGGGAAACCAGCACTTTCCGCTCGCTGATTCTGGCCAGATGGGGGATATGCTTGTCAAGGACGTCCTTGGAATGTTCCTGCCGCATGTGGGCTTCCCATTTGCTCTGATCTCCAAACGTAAAAGAGGGATAATCTCTATTTTTCCAGGCGCAGTGATCGCATGTCCAGTGGGTAACACTGTGCTCTATGAGCAAGTGCTTGAACAAGGCTTGTGGCGTAGCGTACATCTCGTCCGGAATGGTGCAGTTCTCGTAAAAGCACGTGTATGGAAGGATATCCTCAGCGACGTGGCCTCTGGGGCTGGGCGTCGCTGGGAAGATGTCAGCGGGAGGCTGTGTAGCTTTCGTGATCAACTCAGATTCAAGCTCTGTCGGTGTGGTCATGGAAGATGTCAAAACGCTGGGCATTGGGACAGGGTCAAAAGTATCGAATTCAGTTGGCGTCTGCTGGATGTTGGGTGTTGGCCTTCCGATTGGCTGCGCTGGTAAAAGATACTTCTCCATCACAGGCGGCTTTTTGTTCTGCTGAGTATGTCTTGTGGCATAGATTATTCGGTTTCTTCGCACGATGTTGGCGTAAATAAGTCGGTGTTGCACCGGTGTCAACTTGTCGGAGTCTGCAATACGACGAGATTGCCATGTTGCAGTAGTAGAGGCTTGGGCATTAAATTCGCTTGAGCTCATCAGGATAACACCCTTCAAATAGGCCTCAAAGTCTTCAAAGTCCTCCAACTTGAGGGCGGCATCGGCTTTCTTATAGCGATACTTCGCGGGCGACCGTCGGATGTTGTTCGAGAGTTCCGCGAGCTGGCGAAGCGTTCGTTTTATGTTGAGTAAATGTTCTTTTACCAGGATGTCTCCCTTTCCCATGTTTGGTAGGGAGTCTGTTTTGGTCCGCTCGGTTGAGAGAGAGAGGTCGGAGAACATCGAGTACTCGCCATCAAGGGGGTCTTCTTCCGGATTCTCTATGGCCGAGGTGTCTTGTGGCATATCTTCATGGTGTATCAACCTTTCCAGCGTTACGGACAAACCACCCAGGAGATCGAATACCAGTTCCTGGGTCTCTTTGCTCTGTTGGAGACGGTAATCGAGTGATGATCGGCCAACAGCTGCAGCCTTGAGTCCGGCCTCCCACAGATTAAACTCTCCCTGACGATCTTCGAGCCAGTCCAGATCGTCGGCTGCAAAATGTGGCACAGAAAGACATTTGACGAAAAGTTCCTGACAGCCTCTTGTTCGACTAGCGATCCCGACGGCAGGTGAAGATAGACAGTCCATGATTGCGAATCGAGGGATAACGATGTTGGCCCCGTAGAGGTCGACCAGTGGTGCGTTTTTGAGATGGAATACCCTACAGGTGTGGTAGTCCGAGATGTTGTTAGCTGTTGAGAATGAGAGATTGAGATGAAGGAGAGGTGCGCATCCGGAGACACAGCCCGGAGAGGAGTCATCACCCCGCGCCGTCTTGAATTCCGGTACCTGCCCAGTCGAGTAACTCTCTGATTCTCGTACATAGGCACAGGTATTTGCGAGAATGGATGGCGGGTTCGACAGCATGTATACTTGCCTCGCTCGAGACTTATATGGCCGAGTTCCCGAATGACAAAAATCTGGGTAATTTATACTTGCCAATGGGCCTGATCTTATCCAAACCTAGCGCACTAATCCGGAATGTGAATTACTTCTCCTAAAAGGTTCATTAACGTTGAGGGTGAGGATTGATTACTCGCTGTACCGTAATGTTGTACAGCAGCTCGAACCTGCCCCTCCGTACTAGATATAAAATACCTCTCCCGTGAGCCAGGCCGGTGCAGTGACATCCGATCCAATCGGACACGCATATCAAAGCGAATTTGTGGCCGTTTGTGATTGGCCGTGGCGTACGGTACCTATCCCCTCAGCACTGCACTGATGCACTGCACAGACCTGACCTCCTCCAACTTGTCATCCGAGGGCGCAGCCTCCAGCTTGATGAAAGCAGGTTCCAGCAAAGCCAACATTGCCCGCTCCGAGAACTCGGTATACCAAGTCGGTACACCTTTAGCAAGAGCCCGAGCCACCATGGCAGACCCATCGCCCCCCTCCAGAGAGATCCTATCCCTCTCTGACCTCGAAACCATTGCTTCCCGCAAGCTCCCAAGGCCGGTGTGGGGTATCATATCAACCATCCACTTCCCCTTTATGCTCCGGTGCGAGCGCTCATGCTAACGCCCGGGAAACCAGAGTTCTTCTCCTCCGGCGCCACGACCCAAGTAACAGTCAAAGAGAACTCGTCCGCCTTCTCAAAGTACCGCATTATCCCGCGCGTCCTGCGCGATGTCTCGGCACTTGATACGACGATCTCAATGTTTGGCGAGAAGCTCTCCTTCCCGCTCTGCGTCTCCCCGGCGGGCATCCAAGCCATGGCTCATCGCGACGGCGAACTCGCAACCAGCCGCGCCTGTGCGCGCGTAGGCGTGAACATGGGCGTGTCCTCGTACGCAACCTACAGCGTCGAGGAGATCGTTGCAGCCGGGCGTTCGGTCGGTAGTATCAACCACGCGATACAGCTCTACAGCATGAACGACCGCTTAAAAGAAGAGGCGATCATCCAGCGCGCCGAGAACGCAGGATGTAAAGCGATCCTTTTAACAGCCGATAGCCCGGTCCTCGGCGTACGCTGGAACGAAACACGCAATGGGTTTATCCCGCCCGTTGGCCTGGGATATCCGATGCTCGACAGGACCTCAGACGATATTCAGGCGCAGAGCCACGGGGACGGATTCGCGGCGTTTAATTCGTCGTCGCACTGCTGGGAAACTGAGATCCCTTGGCTGCGTGAGAGGACGAGGATGGAGATCTGGATTAAGGGCGTGCTTTGTCCTGAGGATGTGGAGATGGCGATTGAGTATGGCTGCGATGGGGTTATTGTCAGTAACCATGGAGGTCGGCAGTTGGATGAGACACCTGCCACTGTGGACGTCCTTGCTGCTTGTGCTGCGGCTGCGAAGGGGCGGATTAGGGTCCATGTTGATGGGGGGGTTCGCTCGGGGAATGATATCTTTAAGGCGTTGGCGCTGGGGGCGGAGTGTTGTTGGGTTGGGAGGCCGGTGCTTTGGGGGCTTGCGGTGAGTTTCTCAATTCGATGGGACTTGGGTTTTTGATAGTAATGGGTGGTAGTACGATGGCGAGCGCGGAGTCCAGCTTATGCTTGAGATTCTGAAGGGCGAGTTCGCGAGATGCATGCAGTTGGCTGGGTGTAGGAGTATTTCTGATATCAGCCCTTCGAGTCTGGGGATTTTCCGTGCTGATGGGCCTTTGGCGAGGCTGTGAAGACTCAACGGAGTCGTTCAGTGCAAGTTGGTATGTTGACTAAAGTGGTTATGCATGCTTTGCGCTCACAATATCCATCCATGCTTTTGATTAACAGCTACATATATTCATAATCTTCCATGTGGAAGAGCATAGGTAGCAGTAACAGACTCCGGTCACAGCTGCAAGCTTCTTTCAATGATCAGGGCATGGGAGAGGTGGCAGGCGGTGATCAGATGAGGAGCTTCGTTGTCAAGGCCTTTCCGTGGCGGTAATGTTAAGCAATGTTCTTGCTTGGTAGGGGGAAGAAAGTGTCAGAATTATAACACATGGGAAATCACCGTAACTTGAACCATGGAGCAAATGGGACGCTCCTCCAATGTCCGCCAGGCGTTTGGAAGCCATTCGGCAGTGTGTCTGTCAATAACTGACGAGGACTCGATAAACGCGTCTGTTACCGCCGCCACTTCAACTGTAGCAAAGCCGGCATGGCTCGACATGGAAAAAGCCGACAATGCGCCGGAAAGATCGAGAAGACATTACTCAAGCAAGTGGATGTCAGTCTTGTATGCCCGGATGAAATACAAAGGACTCTGCAGAACTGGCTAGACACAAAGGCCTAATGGCCGTGTTTGTTGCGCAGGAGAGTGGGGGCTGAAAGTGGTGGAGTAGCAAAGCTACTTGGAAGGACAATTCACAGAGATCTAGAATGGACCATAGAAGAATGCAAAGTTTCTAGAAGCTGCATGGCAGCCCTTGGTATGTGCAGCGTGAAGAGTAGGGCACCTTGACTGGATTAGCCCTAAGTCGACCGAGATTCAGGAGCCGGTGCAACCGGAATCGTACGTTGGACGACGAACGATAGAAACACAGACAGAACGCTGAGAAGCATTATTCAGCCCCTTCCGCCAAATCGCCATCTTCGGCTAGCAAGCCCGAAGTCGGGGCCATCTAAGGAATTTGTTCCTGAATCCTTAGGGCCGTTCCTTAGCGGCGCCAGGGGCTGAACAGATCGCGAATCGCGTTCTAGAACGGCACAACCATGACCTGCAAAGCACTATCAATTCAACAAAAGCTGAAGCCGACCCGAGCTCGGTGTCGCGTAAAAGTTGTTCTTCCTTAGCCGTGCGCCACGGGCGACCTTCAGGACTTAATCCCACTCGTACGGCTTCAAACGCGGCAGTATTATAGCCGAGACTAGCCATTGGGTCATGCAGGGGCTTAGAACATGTGGTCGTTAGGGTATAGCTGATACTAGCTGCATTGCCGAAGGCAAGTCCGGGAATATAAGACACCTGGAGATCTCATCCTCTTTGGCTCCGAATTGACACTGCAATCCACCTGCAAGGATTCATTACTTAATCTGACCTACCACTGCAGCCTGAAATCTGCATCGCTACAATGGCCATCAGCTCCGACATCGTCGTTGCAAAGTCATTACCAACTATTCACCTCGACCTTCTCCGAGCGGACAATGACACGGAGAGCAAGAAGCTGCTCAACGCTTGCCGGAGCTATGGCTTCTTTTATCTGGACTTGACGAGTGACGCGGAGTTGGTCAAACTATGGGATAACATGTTGGCCATTATCAAGGATTACTTTGAGCAACCACTGGAGATCAAGATGCAAGATGCAAGGAATGATGACAACTACGGGTACGAGCGCCCTCTTTTTCTTTTGAGTGTTTGTCCATGCATTCTTAACAAGTTCACAGCTACGAGCCCATGGGCACCGAAGAAGGCCCAATGGCCAAAACAAGAGACGGCTACGAGTCTCTGAAAGTACATCCCCAAAAGCATCCCATTCATGGCTCCAACTAACCCCCTATTTGCAGTTCTCCCGCCGCGAATACCTCAAAGGCTCCTCAGACCTCACCTCGCCCATCCGGCACCACCAAACGACCTTCTTCACCTTCATAGAAAAAGCCCACGCCATAACCCTCACCATCCTCACCCGCCTCTCAACCCAACTAAACCTCACCGGCCCCGCGCGCTTCGAAGCCCAACACACCGACCCAGGCCCCTCCCTCTCAACCCTCGGCCTCCTCCGCTACCCAAAGCACGACCTGAGCCGGGAAACCTCAAGCACACCCACACACGTCGGGCACAACAAACACACCGACGTCGGAACGCTGACCTTCCTCCTCGCCGCGCAATGGGGGCTGCAGTTCCTATCCCCGCTCAGCAAACGGTGGGAATTCATCGAGCCGCGCCGCGGCCACGCCATCATCAATGTCGGCGATAGCCTGCGGTTCCCGAGTGGGGGTGAGCTGGCGAGCGTGGTGCACCGCGTTGTGCCGCTGCGGGAGACGCAGACGGAGGACCGGTACAGCATGGCGTATTTCCTGCGCATGAATGATGCGGATGGGTTTGTGGATAGTGCGGGGAGGAAGTGGAGTGCGCGGGAATGGCATGATTTTAAGTTTGGGGTGTTTAAGAGTCCGAGTACGCTTGATAAGAAGGGGGAGTTTTTGACCGGGATGATGGAGAGGGATGGGGTAATTGGGGTTGCGGTGTGATGGCTGCTCGGGGGAGGAAGGGGATTTGTACATATATTTGTTTTTTGTTCGTTTAATGAGGATTACTTTGTCAGTTGTGGTAACCCGTCTTTGTTGAATCTTTTGAAACCTCTCGAGTACCCGAAATCGACAGTTTCTCAGAGGGAGGCAACACACGTTATATTTGGTTGCGGTCAACCTTGCATGGCAAGCGGTGCTTCAGTCGAGGGGACCTGCGCGAGCCTCAGGGCCCTAGGGGAATAGGGATATGGTACCATTCCGGACAAATACAAAGCGAGGCCTGGATCTGGAACGTAAATCTACCAGTACTTGGAAGACGGGTAAGTGGGACGCTTGGTTAGGTGGGTATATTCTCGGCTGTAGTCCCCCTCTTCCTCACCATTACGGAAATAAAAGACATATTGAGCGAACAGATGCACCCCCAGGTCCCTAGCCGGGTTACCTACTATGGTACGCTCTGCTGGAAGTAGGTGCCTGAGGCCACCGGAGGCCTTAGGGCTCCGGTGGAGGAAGGTTCTTCCGGCCTAAATAACTATTATAAAACTCTTTATTTATCCCTAAAATATCTAACTTAGTATACTATGTAATATAAGAGACTTTTACCTATAATAACTAGTTTTTTTAATAGGTTATAAGCCCGTGTAATAACGCTAGCGCTGGGGATTACCCGGCTGGTAAGGCCAGGTAATTAAGAGAGAATATATAAAAAAAACTAAATATAAAATTATTTAAAGGTCTTTTATTAAGGCCTTTAAGTACTTTATATAACTTTTATTTAAAATAATAAGGCCTAAATATTATTTTTAAAGCTATTAATATTGTTAGGCCTTAGTATTACTATAGCTAATAAAGTTGCTTATAATATTAATATTAATAATAAAATTATACTTTTTTACTTAAATAAAATAATGCCCTTATTATTAACCCCTGTTTTTAAATATATTTTAATAAAAATATAAAAAAATAAAAACCTTTATTAAAGCCCCTAACCTATTATAAAATAAAAAAAATTATATTATAATATATAAAAAATACTATTATTTTTTTTATAATAAAAAAATTTATAAATTATAAAATAACTTTTTTAAGCATAAAATTATAAAATTTTAACTTATTAATATTAATAAAAATTACTTAATATACCTTTAGCTTAATACTATTAATTATAATAGCCTTTATTTATACTTTATTTTTAAAAATTTTATTAGGTATAACTTACCCTAGCTTGCTTATTATTTTTTAAAAATAAAATAAAATACAAAATAAAAAAGTTTAAAAAAAATTAAAACTATAAATTATTAACTTTTTAAAAAGGCTAGCCCTTTTAAAAAATTAATAATAAAAATTTATTATAAATTCTAATAAAAATTTAACTTTAAAGTAAGGTTAATCCCGCGCCTATATAAGGCTTTTTTTAACTTTTTTATTTTTTTATATTTTTTTTATTTATTTTTATTTTATACCTTTTTTTTAATTTTTGCCTTATTATATTAAATTATAATATATAATAATATTTTATTTTTTTTTACTTAAAGTGCTTGCTTATAATATATTTTTTATAAATAATAATATTAAACTTTATAATAAGTAATGTTTTATATTTTTTTATTTCAAATTTATAACAGTAACTATTTATAATTTATTTATAAAAAAAGCTTTTTAATAAAGTATATAAAGTATTTAAGTAAGGTTTTATTATTATAATAATTATAAAGGCCTTTATTAATAATTTATTTATTATTAGTAATACCCTTATTATAATATTATTATCCCCCTTACTAAATACCACCTTTTTTACTTACTTTTTTTTAAAATTTTTGCAAGACTTTTTTTAATTTTCTAAGTTTTTTTTATTAAAATTTTTATTATAATAACCCTTAAAAAACAAGTGTTTTACCTGTTAAGTATAAATAAAATACCCCTGTAACCCCCTTTTTATTGAAAAAGATTTATATTAATTATATAAATATAAAAAATAGTAAAATAAGTAATAATTTTCCTGCCCTTTTTTTAAGTAAGTACTTTTTTTAGTTTAATTAATAATAATAAAAATTAATATATTATTATATTAATAAAGCTTTATAAACTACTAAAGCCTTTTAAAGCTTTTTTTCTATTTATAAAAACCTTAATTAAGCTTTTACACGCCTTAAAAAGCATAAGATTTATATTATTAAAAAATTTTATTAATAGTTTACTATATTTTTATAGTAGTAATACAGTGTTATTTTTAAGTAAGTAATAAATTATATTAATTATAAAATTTTATTAAAAATAATATTTATAACTCATATACATGCTTTTAAAATAAAAAGGCATGCTTTTTCTTAAGGTACTTATATATATTATATTTTTATATATTAGCAGGCTTAATATTTACTATAAGTTAAGGATAATTGCTAGCTTACTAAGTAAATAAAAAATTATTTATATAAGTTTTTTTATATAGTATTTAATATTAATAACTACTAAATTTAGAAAATAATATAATAGCTTTAATATTATAATTTAGGTAGTTAAGTTAAAAAAATTAAATAATAAAAAAGTAAGCTACTACTTTAACTAAAAAGTATTAAAAAAGTAAGTAAATTTTAATAAAGCTTTTACTTATAATTATTACTTACCTAGTAAGGGTAAAAATAAGCCTATATAAATTATTATTTTAAAAACTTCTAAGCTAAGTAATAAAAAAAATATAAATATTAAGGCTTTTAATAACATAGTTAATAATATTAATAAATTCTTTAAGAAAGCCTTTATTATTAAATTTTTTTAAAAAAAATAATATATTACTTTAAAATTAATATTAACCCTTATTTTTTAAGCCCTTTTAAAAAGCTTCAATAACCTTGCTTAATTTTACTTGACTACCCTATAACTTAATAAATAATAAAATTTTATTATAACTATTTTTTGTTATAATATAAAAAAGACTTTAAGTATTAATACCAGGCCTATATAATTTAAAAGCTTTTTAATTAATAATTTATTATTATTCAGTTTCTTTTAATACTAACCCGGGCAAATTAAGCTAAAATCTTATATATTAATCAAAATAAGTTATATTATTAAAGCTTACCCCTACTAGTTTTTTTTTATTTCCCTTCTTGCCCTATTATTAATTTATTAAAATTATTAATATAGCCTAATAATATTAATAATATTATTAATTTAGTTAAGCCTTATTTTAAGGCAAGAGTTTAAATATAATAATTTTTTATAAAAATAAAATAGTTTTAAGTTTTAAACTTAAAAAATATAAGTAAGTACCCTTTTACCTTTAGCTTTTTTGAAAAAAAATTTAATATAAGAATTAGTGCTATTAATATTAAAATATATATTAACTTAATTTTTTTAAATTATTCACTAGCGCTGGCCCCTTTAAAATTTTTATTAAAAATAAGTCCCCCTTTTTTAAATTAATTAATTATATTTTGAATTATTAGTATTAGGTGTCCTAGGCTTAAAAATAATAATTATATAAAAAGTATAAAAAAAGGGTTCTTTTCCCAAGGTTTAATAAAAGGTAAATTATTTTTATAAATTCTTAAATAATAATATTATACCGCGCTCTTGTGCTTTTAAATTTTAAATAAATTTAGGCTATCATTTTTCTAGTTTTAATAAAAATAGTAATATTAGCATAAATATTAATAATAAGCTAGTAATAAATAAAATAATAAAACTTACTAAGGCAAAGGTAGCTTTTAATAGGGTAAATATTAAATTTAATAAGGCGGAGGCGGAGTATTAAATATTTTAAATAAAGTATTAAATAAAGTATAAAGCAGAGTGTTAAGCAGCCATAATATTAAATATTTTAAAAAAGTTAAAAATAAAGAAAATTACTTTTAGTAATAAATTTAGTATTAGCCCTGCTAATAAGGTAGTTTATAGTAATAATAAGTAAAGTAGGTTAGTTTTAATTTTTTAAAATAAATAAAATATGGCAGGCTGCTTGCTAGAACTTTCCTAGTATAAGTATTACTTTTTTATAAAATACTTCCCTTTTAAATATAATAATTTAAAATACTAATAATAAAGTTATATTTAATACTAGTCTTTTTAGTGTCCCGCGGAGGTTAGCGTTTTTAGTACTTATTAATAGTTCTTTTTATTAAACTATTAATTAGGATTAATAAGTTTTTTTAAATTTATTTTTTATGTAATTTTAATTTTAAAAATATATGCTAAATAAGGTTATAAGTTTTTATTTATAATATTCTTATTATTAAAGTATTACTAGCCTTAAAAGCTTTTGCCTTTTTAGTATACTTTTTATTTTTAATAATAAGCTTATTAATAATAGTATTCTTTTTTACTTAGTTTAAGAATAATTTTTAATTTTTATACTTAATTTATTTTACCCTTGTTAATATTAATAAGTTAAAATAAAAGGGGATTAAAAACTTAACAATATTAATAATTTATTATATTTTAATTAATTTTATAATTTTTTAACCTTACTTTTTAAGGGGTTTTTATAGTTATATACTTACCTAAAGCTTTTTTAAATTATTAACTTTTATAAAAATAAGGTATTATTTACAAATAAAATTATAAATAATATATTCATTTAGTTTAATAATAATATATATACTAAATAAGTATAATTTTAATATTTTATAAGGTTTAAATTACTTAGTATTAAATTTTTAAAGATTTTTATTTTTAACTAGGACCTAATTATTTTTTTTAAATAAGTAATACTTTATTTTATAATTATAAATATATTATTGCTTTATAATATAGGCTAACAAGCATTTATTAATAATAATTTAAATATATTATAACTTAAAAATATAATTCTTTATAATAATAATTTTTATAAATATATTATTTATAAAAGAAATATGGTTAAATATTATATAAAAGTTTAAAGGGACTTATACTAGTAATACTAAAAAATTTAATATATATAATAAATAATACTTAATTTAAGTATTAATCCTATAGTTTTATTAGTTTCTTAAGTAGTATTTTTATAAGTATTAAGCTAA